TCCCCCACGTCCTAGATGTGACAGCAACCTCCAGCCCCACTGCCGGTGCCTCCCCACCGCTGGGGGTGCATTTGGCATTTCACAGCATGTTGCTCCCTTTGTGTTCATGGCTCGTGCACCAGGAGAGCCTGCTCTGGGCCTCCTGCTCTACGGGGGTGCTGTGCAGGGGACCTTCCATGCCCCCATCAGACACCACTTTGTGAGCACCTCCAAGAGCATCGTCAGCATATCCAGATGTGTACTGTGCAGATGTGTCAGCTCTTGAAATGGATGCCACTGGCTATGTGTTGTGTGTTAGAGACAGCACAGGCAAATCACCACTGAGACAGTTATTTCTCACGGCTGCTGCAAAAGGTGTAGGTGACCCACTTAGATGGAATCCTGTGCTGAGAGGGGTATCACCGGGTCTGTTTCCCATCTCACAGCATGCAGGAGTCTGCCACCCCACCCAAATCCCACCTCTCTGAGCCATCCATTTTTAAGAGCTGGGGGGAAACCCCAAGCTGGTGATGAGCAGTGAATGCAGCCAACAAACCGAAGGGAATATTCCAGAAAACTGATCCCACCTACCTGTGTTTTATGGTACCTGTGTACCTTCAAAACACCAGCTTCCTCTTCCCCTCCAGAACCAGCTCAGGATAAGACCCACCACCTCCTGCTGCTGGGTTCCCCCCAGTCCCTGCCCATGACTGTCCTGCCATCCCCCCCAGGAGACACCAGGCAGGATCTCCGGGTGCTGCACAGTGTGGAACCAGGCCCAGGTGCTGCTCACTCGCTGACAAGACAGAACAAGTGGGTTTAATTAGCAGGAGGCGAGAGCCAGCAGTAGGAAGGGAAATGCGCTGCTGATAAGATCGCACGGTTGCAAGCAGTGTGCGTGCTGTTCACAGCGCGGCCTCCTTGGAAACCCTGCTCCAACACGTCTGCTTTTGCACTTCCACTGCCACGTGCTGCTCACTGTCTCTGCTCATCTCATCTAGGACATGCTGCCACCACAGCCCCCAGGTAGCTTTCTGCTTCTCCTCCTCGCCAGTGCCAGACCTATGTGGTTCCATGGCATTCCCAAGATCTGCTGCCCTGGAGAAAGAGGAGCCACCTGGGCAAAGCCAGGCACAATTTTGGATCTCCCATCACTGAAGGCCCCAGTTAGGTAAGGAATGTCCATCAGCCCTAGGGAGGGGATGTCCCCTGGGGCCCTGAGCTTGGGAAACTGGAGATGCTTAACTCCTTGACCATTCTACAGCTATTTAGCCAGCTGCGTAAGTCAAGGCTGCACAGCATCCTTAGAAAGGAGAAAAGAGAAATTCATCTGGGCTATAAACAAAGACTCAGTGAATCAGGAGCTCCCTGAGTTTCAAGTCAACAAAGTCTTTATGAGAATTATGGGAATGGGTGCTGCAGGCACCTCTAGTCCTCCAAGTCACCCGGGGATCTTCTGTGGGGCTGTTCCGTGTAGAGGAAATGGGCCAAAGCACTTCCTAGAAAGACCCTTGAGGCTCTCCCAGGACTGGGGAAACTACAGGCTCAGGGAAAAGATGTGATGATATAAAGCCATCAGTGAAACATGGGTAATTTCGGAGAGCTCAAGATCAACAGCTCAAGTCTGGGAGTATGAAAAGGGATAGCAGCAGAGCCCTCCAGCAGCACCCACTGCTCTCCAAAGGCCCCCAGGAAGCCAGGCCTGTGTATGGTGGTGCAGGGACAGGGGTGCAGTGCATGGTCCCCAGATCCTCCTGCCCTTTTCAGCTGGGGAGCAGCAATGATTGGGCTGCTGTACATTGGGCAACAAATGAGAAGCTAAGTGTGATCCCAGCACACACAGGGTCCTCACAAACCACGGAGCCATCCCATGGCTTTTGAGCAGGACACTGATAACAGGGTCCCTTGGCAGCCTGGTGTGGTTCCATCTGGAATAGAGTTAACTGTCTTCCCAGCAGCTGGTGCAGCGCTGTGTTTGGGTTTCAGTCTGAGAACAGTGCTGATAACACGCCCATGGTTTAGTTGTTGCTCAGTAGCACTTGCCCTGATCAAAGACTTTTTCTCATGCTCTGCTGGGGCTGAGGGGCATGGGAAGCCGTTAGGAAGCAGTGAGAAGACACCTGACCCAAACTAGCCAAAGGGGTATTCCATCCCACAGCACATCATGCTTGGTATATGAACTGAGGGGACTTACCTGGGAGGCACCAGAAGCTGCTCAGGTTGGGCTGGCCATCAGTGGTGAGTGACTGCATTGTGCATCACTTGTTTCTTCTCAGGGGGGCAGGGTTTTATTATCCCTTTCTCTCTCTCTTTATTTTCTATCACTATTATGTTTTACTTTGATTTCCATCATTAAATTGTTCTTATCTCAACCCATGGGTTTTATCTTTTTTCTAGCTCTCCTCCGCATCCCACTGGAGAGTAGGGGGAATTAACAAGCAGCTGCATTTAGTTGCTGGTACTTTGGTTGCCAGCTGGGTTTAAATCAGAACATAGCCCCAGAAAACATAAGATGAATCAGGACCAGGGACCCCAGCCAGAAGCAAGAGGAGATAGAGCCAGGACTATGGACAAGGCTACAGCATGTATATGGGATCCTTTTGGGGTGGGAGGCCAGAGACAAGCTATGTGCAATGTGGATCCAGGGTCCATCCCGAAGATATGGCTGGAGACAAGCTTACAATATCAATTCAGAGGCCACCTAGGAGACAAGACCAAACAGAGGTTTACCTACATCAAAGCTCAGCCAAGGACAGAAGGCCCAGTCCTGAGCTTAAAAAATGCCTCTGGCCTCAAGCAGCAGGTTCAGAAGGTGAGGCTGCTCAGGGAAATTAAGAGCAATTAGTGCCTGCTGGGTCCTGCTGAGCTCCCCCCTGGCTCTGGGGGTGGCATTGCTAGGGACTGAGGGGGCTTGTGAGAGCTCCACTGTGGTCTCATCTGGGGCAGGAGGGGTGAGGACCAGCACCCCAGGGCCATGCCAGCCCTGGGGGTCCTGCTCATGGGTGTTTGGGGGGTGACTTGTATCAGGCCTCATGAGCACCCCCTGATTGGGGTAACTGGTGGGTGCCAACACATTTCCACTTCCTTTCCAGCGGATCCCTGGGGGTGGCCCCAGCCAGACACCCCTCCGGCCACTGTGCATGAGTGAGCTCATGCTGGCGACCACAGAAACCTCCAGCAACACAAGTGGGTGCCTGCTCCCCACCTCCATGCAACCACCTCATGGCCAGGGGCTTGATCTGACATGTCCTGGTGTGGCTCAAGGCCACGTGCCCACACTCCTCTTCCCCCTGGTCCTGCCACCCCCAGCAGCAGTGGCTGCTGGTGGGATCGTGCTGTGGAGCAGTGCAGGGACCGAGCCCTGGTTAAAAATAGCCTGGCAGAAAAGGGGATGTGGTGGGCTGGCCCTGCCAGGGTGATGGTGCAGCCTCAGCCACAGTGGCCCAGCACAGCACGGCGTGAAAACACCATTGCATACTCTGGGGCTGGGGCAGGAGAGTCTGGTTCACACCCCTCATGCCGGCAGAACCTGACTGGGTGCCTATAGCCCTGCCTGCAGCACTGGGACAGGCATCCACATCTTCCTCAGCACTCAGAAGGATCCCAGCCCCAGTCGCCTCCCTGCTCAGGGCATTTCTGGGCGTGCAAAGCAGCAGCGACCTGGGACAGCCCAGCCCACTCACTTCTGCCCCATCAAACAGGGGCAAGGACAAGTGAGCCGAGGTCCTTCAGAGACCAGAGGCTCCCCCCAGTAGGCAGAGGACACGTTTCCCTGTGGGAACCTGACAAAAAGCGTTCAGTCCAGAGGGAGGGCACTGAAAAATGGGGTTGTGGCTTGTTTGTTTTCTGTTAAAGAAAAGGAAGAAAGTAGCAGTTTCTGTTCTGCTCTCAGCAAGAAACATGTTTCAAGCGCGTTTCTGCTCTCAGCAAGAAACATCTCTCCTGGCAGTGAGCTTCCAGTGGCTGTAACATCCGTAACCGCAGTATAGCCCTTGATCAAAACCACTCTGTGTTTGTCCTTCCCAACACCTGAATATTCATTATTAGGAAGTGAACTTTCAAAACTTCTGCATGTGAAAACCTTGGACTTGCTTTTCCTTGGCAGCAAAGCAGGAGCTGCTCAGGGCCCTCTCACAGGCTGCTGGGGCTTGGTGGGGGGACGGATGGACGGATGGACAGGGGGTGTTAGCTATTTTCATTTTTACTGTGTAGAAGTTTGCCTCCTTGTGACCATGGCGACAGTTTTGGTTTGATGGTCTTTTCCCTCCCCATCCCCTTTGAACAGTCACACTGCCAGGGAATGGGGGAAAGCTGGGACAGCAAAGAGAAGCAAAACACCCTCCAGTCCTTTCTGCCAGCCTGAGGAGGGGTCAAAGGGAAAGAAAAATACCACGAACTCAATGAAGCCACCCACAGGCAAGACCAGCACACGGTGCTCTACAAAATGGGGAAACTTTCCATTAAGCTTTGGGCTTATAAGAGGGAGGGGAAAAAAAAAGTGTGCTTTTATTATTTTTTCCTACTAATTTTATCTGCCCTCTCCCACGGGAGGAGATGGGGAGTGACCGTGTCCGGGGGTGTTTGGGAGCTGATGTCTGGGGACAGGGACCCTCCTCCTGTGTCCCTGGAAGCTGGGCTGGTTTCAGACACAATCCCCCCCGGAAGGAGGAGCCATGGGTGTGGAGCTGGGGGCAGACACGGACCACGGGAGGACTCCTCACTCCATGTGGAGACCATGGCTGGGGCTGCCACAGGACACGCAGCTGTGCCAGCGCGCCCTGGGGGGGCTGAAGGTGAGAGACCCCTGTGGATGGGCTGAGATTTGCCGGCTCCTCTTGAGCTGTTTCCACCCCCACCCCTGATCTCACCAAGGGTTTCCCAGGGCTCTGAGCATGGTCTGCAGCAGTGTGCACGCTCCGCGTGTGTGCTGCTGCCAGACAGCCCCGTGGACCGCGGCCCCAGGCACTGCACGTGTCTTCCCTGGGTTTGATTTCCCAGGAGCAGAGTAGAAGGTCCACAAGTCAACACCGAAAGAGTTTTATTCAGCAGCTGCCCACCCTGCTGCACCCAGCAGTCATTTGGCAGCACAAAGCCACTCAGGAGCCCCTGTCCACCTCCCATCCCTCTCCGCATTGCACATGGCCATGACTACCCATCTCTTCCCACATAGAAAATGAAGGTGGGGGTAGGGGGAAACTGGGAGTTGGAGGCTTTGGTGCCTACCTGGCCTCCCAGAACGGTGCTTGCTCCAACCCAACAGGCCCCTCCACCGCGCACGTGGGGCACCAGGCCATAGGGCCCCTCTTCCCATGTGGCACAGCCCATCCTCCTCTCTTGGACAGCCTGCGATGGGCTCGTGGGTCGCGGCAGTGCTCTCTTCTCCGTAGCCCACAGTACACTCATCCATAAAGTAGGAAACACTACACCCTGCAGTGCTGTTTAGTAGTGCTTTCTACTTTATGGGTGACTGCACTGTCTCTCAGTCCGTGTCCGGCAGTCGCTCTCCTCCAGCGATGTGCTCACTTCCGCCCGCGCGGGGCCACGTCCCACACCCCCTGTGTCCCACCGCGGGCCCCCCTCAGTGTCGGCACGGCCAGGGATGCAAATCACAGGGGACAGGGAGCCTCTGCAGCATCACCTCCTGCCTTGGGGAGCTATGCCAGGCATGGGCACCGTCCTCGTCCCCACAGTGGAGATACTTCTTTGTGCTCCCTTGTCTCCACTAAAACCCCATCCTGGGCACAGGGGACATCCTCACCTTGTCCCCATGGGCAACACTGTACTTTATACCTCGTTGTCCCACCTCAAGCCCTATCCTGGGCACAAGGGAATTCCTCACCTTGTCTCCAAAGCAGAGAACCCACCTAATACCCCATCCTGGTCACAGGGGACAGCTTTGACTTGTCCGAAAAGGAAGGACCCCCCCTCAGACCCCATTCTAGTCATAGGAGTAAGTTTGCACTTACCTCCAAAGAGAGGAATCCACTTAATAATACTCCATTCGGGTCATAGGACACCACTTTGACTTGTCCCCAAGCAGGTGACTCCACCTCAGACCCCATTCTGATCATAGAGAACCCAATTGCCTTGTCCCTGCTGGTGGGGACCCTTTCAGACCTCATCCAGGGTACGGAGGTCATGTTTGCTATGCCCCCATGTGAGACCTTCACCCCATACCCTTTCATAGAGGACCCCTTTGCTTTGTTCCCATGCCGGAATCCCACCCTGAACTCCATTGTTGCCTTTCAAACCCCAGAGGATCCCATGAGGACCCCCTCATCTGGATCCCAAAAGTGAGATCCCATCTCAAACTCCACCATTGTCCCTCTAATCCCACCTGCATCACAAAGACTCCCCTTGCCATGTCCCCATGATGGGACCTAACCTAACTGACACCCTGGTCACAGAGGACTCTTTTGCCTTGTCTCCATGGCGGGCATCCTACAGAAAACCCCATCGCCATCACCCTTGAAATGCCCCCATGGGAGATTAGGTGTCATCCCTGCCTCCTTATCCCAAGAACACTTTGCCTCACCCCCCTGCCCCTGAAGCCACAGGAGCTCCGTGGCTGGCGGCTCCCCATGGGACTCCACCTTGCCCCATCTGCCAGTCACATGGAGACACTTTCCATGCTCCCACTGCCCTTCAGGCCATGCGCTGGGGGTCAGTCGGGGGTCCCTGCACCCAAAGCCACATGGACCCTCACCCCGCCAGCCTCACCTTGTCTGCACCGCCAGCCTCCATGTCACCCAGTCTTGTTCCCACTGCCACTGAAAACCCCCTGGGTGTCACTTCTGCTTCGGGTGCTTCCTGCCTCCACCCACCCGCCAGTGTGGTGCCTCCTCCCCCCGGCACCCCCCTCCTGGGATGGGGCGCTCCCTTACCTGTCGTCGGCCCCCAGCACCCGCTGCCCCCCCTCATAGTGGAATCGGGGCCATGGCCACCACACCCCAGGAGGCCCCGTGCTGCTCCTTGAGAGCCATGTGGGCACCTTGGATGGGTCCCCCCATTACCAGGTCAGGGCACAGGTGGCCCACGCTGGGTGCTGGTGGCCCATGCTGGGTGCTGGTGGCACATGCCGGGTGCTGGTGGTGCATGCTGGGTGCCGGTGGTGTATGCCAGATGCCGGTGGCCCACGCTGGGTGCTGGTGGCACATGCCGGGTGCCGGTGTGGTGAGGTGCTGCATGGAGTGATGGTGGCGGCGGCCAGAGAGCAATGGGCCCCTGTCCGTCGTGGGGCTGCTTTTAACCCCATCCTGCCCACGTGGCCCCAACCACAGGAAGAGCCGTAGCTGCTGAGGAGATAACGGTGCATGGTCCCACCCAGCACCACCCCGCAGCCTGACCGCAGCCAGCCCAGCGAGGGGCGAGGGGTGGCTGCTGCCGAGCACCGGAAGCCGTTGCAGAGCAGCCGATTGTGCTCTCCTGGGCCTTGCTGCTGAGGGCGACAAACATGTTTGTGCAAAACACAAAGAGCAAAAAGGGCTGTTTGCGCAGGGCGACAGGAACCAAATCCACCCCCTCCCAGCTGCGTGGGGGCTGGGATGGCCACGGGGCTCCACCATTGCCCCTCGCGCCATCCTGGTGGTGGGACCTGCACAGGAGTGAGACATTCCTAACCACAGAGAGAGCTTACGGAGGGGTCTGCAGGATTCAGGGTGCTGCCCTGTATAGGGCCAAAGGAGGTGGGGACATGGGTGCCAATGGACTGTGAGCCCTAAACGTGATCTTTCGGAAACACGTTGCCCAAGCGGCGTTCTGGAGCCTCTTACCCACTCCATGCACTGCAACGCTAGACTTCCCCCCGCCCCGGGCAGCTCTAACGGCTGACAGGGATGTGAGGCCCCGGGAAGTAAAGCAAAGGCCAGGTTCGCAGGGTTTGCATGCCGGGTTGCAGTAGCCAGCACTGCTCGGTGGCACAGGGGCTGGAGCTCCTGTGTGTCATGGAGCAGGGGGTTTGCACAGCCAGCACTGCACTGCATGCTGGAAGCATGCCCTGCCACAGTGCCAGGTGAAGCTGCCCATGAAACTAGTCTAAAAACTACGAGCTAAAGCACAACAGGTGACTTTAAATGGGATTGCATCTGCCTGTGCAATTGTTTTCATGTGGCTTTGCAAATGGCTCTTTTTTTAGGCCAAAATTATTCACACTCCACATTGACAAGCTGGACGGAAACGTAAAAAAAAAATAAACCTATGGTGAGGTTTGCAGAAGGCAGCGGAAGAGCAAGGTCAAAAATAACCGAGCAGCAGCACAGTCAGAAGTGATTTGACTTGAGCAGCACATGAGCTGGTAGAGGGGGCTTTGGTGAAAAGGGAGCTGGTTGGGAAATTCTTTTCAAACGGAGATTGAACTGCTCAAAAAGTTTCACTGGGAGAAAACAGCCCCAGACCCTAAGTGGCTGGAGTGAGCCTGTCTGCCTGCCCAGCTGGCCCCAGTGGTCTGCCCTGTCTCCCATCCTTTGCTGGTTCCCCAAGCCAGTGAGAAGTTCAGCAGGGAAATCTAAGCAGGTGATGTCTCCACAGGGTCCTTTGCTGGTGCAGCTCTGACTCAGGAGAGCATCCCTCTGCTTCTGCTTGCGGCAAGCAGCTCCTCACCAGCGGCAGAGGCCACCACATGCACATGTGGAGCTGACCCAAACGCCTTCTGAGCTCCCTGAATTATCCCTCCTGACGACACCTACAATTGTGAACATCAGTCTGGATGTGTGAGCAGGTTGTTCCCAAACCAGATACTCACCTGAGACAGCAGCCCAAGTCCAGTGTAGCGGGCAGGTCCCCAGTGGTACTGGGTGCTACCACAGGGTGTCAGAGGTGCAGAGGTACAGGCAACCATGCTCCTACAGCAGAGACAAGGAGCCTTTCTGGGGGCAGACAGAGGAAGCTTTGGTCCCAGAGGTGCTGCTGGGGACTTTCCAAGGCCACATTTCTTGTAGCGTGACTTGCTTCAACAAGCCAGCCCCTGCTTGAGAGAGCTGGGGGCAGGGGGTGGAGGTGAGAAAAGGCACATTTGATGCTAACCACGTTGCAAAGCAAGATGATGTGTTTCTTAATGGAGGCAGCTGGGAGACACTGCTGCGGAGAGACGGATGTCATGGGCAGGGTGAAGCACGTGGCCAGCGCTGGGGATGCTGCAGGGAAGGAGCTGTGCCCTCCCAAAATGGGCTCTCAGCAGAGCACTGCCCACTCAGCAAGGAGCCGAGGAGGTGTGTGGGACGGCCACTGGCGCCTTCCCAGCAGGGAAGTGGAGGGAGGCAATGCTTCCCCTTTCCCTGGCCCAGCACAAGCAAGGGGACATGACATTCTGGGTGTCCCAGGCTGGTTTCCTTCTGCCAGCAGCAGCCACTCACTGCCTGCACCGCCTCTCGGAGAGGAGGAAATCAGCAGATCTGGTTCTTCAGGTCTCTAAGTCTCCAACTGATGATGAACTTCCCACATCCCCTGGCCATTGGTTAATTTTACCAACTGGCAAACGAGGCTGCAGGAATTTCTACCCCCAGTGCTTGGCCTGGTCAAAAGAGCTCCCTGTGTTGGGGACACAGAGGTGTTTTGAAGCTCAGGGAGGCTGCTCTGGCTGTGTTTTCTCCCCGAGGACCTTGTGAGAGCTTCTGGTCCCTAGAATGCTCCTGAGACCCCTCTTCAGACCCTGGCCATCTGCTTTGCATCACCTGAGGACTTGCCGATGGATCCCCAGGGTGCTGGTTGCTGCTGTTCCCAAGGGTGCTGCTCCCCAACCCACCAGCACTCCTTAAAACAAACCCTCTCCCACCATGACACTGCTTCCCTGGCTCTACCCTCCCCTGCTCTTCTCTCGGGTCATGCAGATGCAGGTTGGACACTCGCAGCATCCCGGCACCCGGGTGTGCCACTCAGTTTTTGCTCTGTATTGAGCACCGGGGATGCACCGCTGCTGCTGCTCCACAGGGCCCAGGCTCCCCACTGCCCAGCGGGACATGGGCTGTTGCTTTTCCAGTAACTCTCCCAGTATCAATGGGCACAGGGGAGTGTGGGAGCTGGGGGCTTGGGGGGCAGCAGCAGCGCCAGCCCCGGCACAGGGGCAGGGGGAAGGGCCCTTGTCAGGCTGCACAGCCCAGGCACTGCGAAAGCCCTGATATTTCTTATCGTCCCTTGCAGCAACTTCCCCTCCTCGCCTGCGGTCGCAGGGCTCGCTGCACGCAGGGGAAGTGGTGGCCAGGCCGGCCGCCTTCAGCCCTGTGCCGTGCTGAAAGGAGATGAACCCCTGCCAGTGGTCCCAGCTCTGTGCCAGGCAGGGAGCTGCCTGCTGCCCAGCCATGCCTGCGCAGCTTCCATCTATCCGGCTCCTCGGGGGCCTGAGAGCTGTGCTGGAGGAGGAGGAGGGAGGGGGTGGTCTCACCTGAAGCCTCCCTGAGTCCCCTTCACTGGCTAGTGGGAATGGGATTCTGCTAGCCACTTGCTCCACAGACAGCCAGGAGCGCCTCCTGGTCATCATTCTGCCAGACCCCAACAGAGCTACGGTCATGTCACTGTTAACACTGAACACTAATGACTGCATTCCCAACATATGCCACCACGTTCCCTCTAAGAAGAGGGGACAGAGGCGCACAGATGGGCACAGTTCCCTCTGCTCTGCAGCGCAATGGGTGTCCTCAAGAAAAGACCCCTGGGGCAGAAGGCTCCAATCTGGTGGTGCTCCTGGAGAGCATGGGGAGGGCTACTACTGCTGCCCCAAAGAAATCGGGGGTGCCCAAAAGCTCCTGAGAGTTTTTTGGATGGTCAGATCATTGCCACCATCCTGCTAGGCACAAGGAAGCGCTGCTGGCACAGACAAGGGTCACCTCTGCACCCAAGCAGGAATGGGGCTGAGCCCCGTTTCCCTGCCAGGCGCCGGGACGGGCTCCCAGCCTGATCCCGCTGCCTGCGCCCTGCCCGTCCCCAGGGAGCGCCGCTGCTGGCAGGGCCGTTACAAGTGAGTCAACCAGAAACTGCCGGGTGAGGCGGGCTGCAGCCGAGTGAGCGTGAGGGGAAACCTCAGCCAGGCCGAGCGCCGTGGGGGGCGGGCGCGGGGGCACACGGGACCAAATTTAGACAGAGCGCGATCTGACCAAATATAGACACAGCGTGGCCCGGCTGCGCCAATGGCGGGCGTGGGGCCGTTGGCTGCCACGCACGGGGCCCCGTCACATCCCGTGTCACCTGCGGCAGCGAGCTCGCAGGTGGGGGCAGGGGAGGACACGGGTTGGGGCCCGGCACCAGCGCTGCGGCACAGACCGCGACTCCGCTCTCCCCTTTCCCCCCTTGACCCAAGGGTTGTGCAACGGCACACGGTGGGTGCCAGGGCAGGCCCATTTGGGATGAAGAATCATGGAATCCCAGGCGGGTTTGGGCTAAAGGGACCTTAAAGCTCCTCCAGCTCCAACCCCTGCCACGGGCAGGGACACCTTCCACTGGAGCAGCTTGCTCCAAGCCGCTGTGTCCAACCTGGCCTTGAACACTGCCAGGGATGGGGCAGCCACAGCTTCTCTGGGCACCCTGTGCCAGAGCCTCAGCACCCTCACAGGGAAGAGCTTCTGCCTAAGAGCTCATCTCAGTCTCCCCTCAGGCAGCTTAAAGCCATTCCTCTTGTAACTCAACAGCAATATGGGGAACGGATGAAGCTGTGCTCTGGACCTTCTGGTGCAGGATGGACTCAGGAGATGTGGGGCTGAGCTTTGTAGTGACAGTCCCTCCTTCCCCAGAATTGCCTGCTCCCACACTGGGACAAGGCATGAGGATCTCTGAGGTCCAGAGACCCTGAGGACCCAGGGACAGGCACCAAGGGCTGCCAGGAACATCTTCCCAAACCTGGCAATGATGGCTGCTTTCCAGACCAGCCAGGCCAGGTGGTGCTGGGAGAGCAGCATCGAAGGCCCAGCCTGGCCAAGGGGCTGGTTCCTGTAGCCACCAGCACAGGCTGACACCTTGCCCCATACCATGCACCTCAGCTGTTTGGGGTCTCCCAGAGGAGGTGCAATGTCCTCACCCAGCATGTGTCCAGGACTCTGCTTGGCTTCTCAGCAACTCTTCTGCCACTGTCTACACAGGAGGACCATTCCCTCCAGGGGAAAAACCCAGCACCTACTTTGGGAAGAGCCTGGGTGACGTACATCTGGCCAAAATGAGGAAGGACGAGTACCACTCAGGATGCAGCAGGAGGCCCCAGTAGAGCTGGGGACAAAGCAGATACCACCAGGTTCTCAAATCCGTCCTGTGACTTCATCTGTGGTCTCACTTTGCCATTTGCCACAAGGAACCATGCACCCCCCGCAACCTCCACCGTCAGGATGAGACCCTAATCTGTCCCACCAACCCCTGGCATCTCCCCTTCCCATGAAGCAGAACTGCAGGAGCAGACCAGGGAGGTGAGAGGGCTCAGCCCAGAGGAGGTTTGGGACCCTCCAACAGCTTCTTGTGTCCCCCCAGATGCTAAGACCCCAACTCTGTCAGCATCAGTGGGTTTAGACGTATCCACCATGAAGCAGCTTAGGGCCACTTTGCAGGCAGCACTGAACTTGCAGGGGGTGACAGCACCATCTTCACGTGCTCTTTGCAGGCCTGCTTCAGGAACCAATGGCCCACCAGTCTGTCTGTCCCTCACAAAGCAAAGCCTCCTCCTTCCCTTGTAATTCCTGACAGGCAAACAGCCAGAGGACCCATCATACCTCAGAGCTCCCTGTTTTCCCTGCAGATCCCCTCAGCCGGGAACACGTCTCCATTCTTTGCCTACCATTGCTAGAACACCAGGAACCCCTTGGGACGGTGCACGAGGCAGACGTGCCCCACTTCTGCCATGCTTTGAAAGCCTTCATAACTACCTGCACCTCCGAAACCTGCACCCATCCCCTCTGCAGCCCATCCAAACGGCTGCTACTGAAAGCTGGCCATGGGCCCCTCCTCTTCCCACCACATCAGACACAATCAGGTGCCTTGGTAGCTTCTCCCCATGGGTGCTGACGCAGAGGTGATGGGCAGGGTGGGCCGCCATTAACGGCATGCACTATGGCTTTGCCATCCTCGCTCCAGCAGTGCTTCCCCCCAGCCCTGGGCTGGCAGCACAGGGACCAGGTCATTTTTCCCTGCACCTCAACCTTGCCAAGGTCTCTTCAGCCAGCTTCCAAGGAAAGCAGGGGTTTGTTTTAGTTTAGTTTATCCCCCCAGCACCTACCCGCAAGGGTCTCCGCACCCCTGCGGTCACCAGCCCCCCCAGCACACAGGGAAGATCTGAGGCTGTGCACTGGAAGGCAGTGAGGCAGCCCCTGAGAGCAGATTTAGGATGAAGCAGCCCTGATGCTGCTGCAGTCAACCCTGGGCAGCACCTCTGCCACGGCATGCGCAGAGCACCCGTGGGAGCACAACTGGGGGTGTCACCACACCTCAGCCACTGTCCCAAGGCACTGCTACACATCCCCCTCCCTCTGCAGGCCAGCGTGGCCAAGCTGCAAGACAAAGGCTCATGGCAGGCGGTGGGAGCAGCGTGCAGGGACAGAGCCTCGGGGCCCCCCGTGCAGGTGGGGAGGGCTCAGACAGGCATTTCCCAGCAGCGGCAGCAGCTGCTCTGCGTGGAAGCACCCAGTGCGCTGCGGTTTGGGAAAGTCATTTTTCTCACCCGGAGGCAGAGCCGAGGTATCGGTTCTCAAAACCCGCACCAAGAAAACCCACTGGCTCGTGCTTCCTGCCTGCGCTGCCCGGGGCTGCCCTGGCCTCCCCCTGCACGGGGGGCGGCCGCGGTGCCAACCCTGCAGGGCTTCCAGGCCTGGCTCAAACATTTTAACGTCATTTTGGTGCAGGGGGAGGAGCCGTCTTCAACTGACTCAGATCCACAACTCCCTGCCCTGTTGACGCTTTCTCTCCTGATTACAGCCCAGGCTGCCACTGCACATCTTTTCTATTCCTTCAACGTGAGAGCTCCCTGCCCTACTTTTCTCAGCAAATAAAGATCCAGATCCGTTTGCTTTTTTGCTGCTACAAACTGCTGGCAGCCCCAGGGCTCAAGTCTAACTGAAATGCTCATTTTAGGGCGCTTTGCAGAGGTCCAACGCTCAGCTCTGGCAGCCTGGAAGCAATGAATCACTTGGGTGGCGTGGGCTGGGAGATGTGGTGCGTGTGTGGGTGAGCGAGCAAGCTTGCAGGGAAGAGGCTCACTGATTCAGCCCTATCAGAGGCACCCAGTGCTCAGAAGCACTGTGAGCTGCTTGCAGGCAGAGGAGGTGCAGCTCTCTCTGAAAGCCCACCAGGGCTCAGCCTGTTTGCTTGATGTTCTGCCTCTTGCACTTTCACTGCAGCACCCCAGTCTGAACTCTATATAACCTGGAGTAGTTGTGATTCCTTCCAAGGGGTGAGGTCCCAGCAGGCTTTAGAAGCCCCTTCACCTTCTATGAGAGGCACAGTGACAATGTGCACTTCTCCCTGGGGACAACTAAGCAAAGTTCCCAAGCGCTGGGCAGTAACTGCATTACTGCAAGACTGCAGCTCCCCAGGAAGGGAGACATGAACCACCGTGCCTGCAGACTCACACCCAGCCAAGCCAAACAAGCCCACCCTGCACAGGTCCTGCACGGAGCCCTCTCATCACCTCCTCTGCACCATGCGGCCAGGGGACCAGCTGACCTGGGACTGTGGAAAGAGTCACAATGTGCCTCCAGTCCTGGAACAGCTCCAGCGTGTCCATGCCAATCCCTGGAGCCAGGGAAGGGGGACACAGCCGGGTAAGCTAGAGGGAGGGCATGGCACTGTGAAATACAGCAGAAAAAGCACATGAGCCTCAGGTCTGTCCTGCTCTGGTCCATCTCCAGCAGCTTCCCCTCATCACCAGCCTCCAGCCATGCTCCACGAAGCCGTGCTGCCACCCCGTGGCACTTAAAAGGTGAGGCTTCGAAGCTGGCCATGGCCAGGGTCGTTGCTCTCTGTCATATAGTAATATGACGAATCATACATTCGTCATTTAAGAGTATGACGAATAATAGAATCACAGAATGGTTTGGGTGGGAAGAGATTTTAAAGCTCATCCAATTCCAAGCCCCTGCCACAGGCAGGGACACCTTCCACTAGAGCAGGCTGCTCCAAACCCCATCCAACCTGGCCTGGAACACTGGCACGGAAGGGTGATCTGCCCCCACAATCCTTCCAACTTGGCTGTAGCCAAAGCATCACTCAAGATCCATCTCCCCTCAGCTGTAAAAAATGCTGCCTATCTCATCCTCCTTGATCCCTTTCATTCTGAACCTTGTCAGCTCTCATCAACCTCACACAACTAGACAGCACTGGCTGCAGCTTTCTTGGACACTTCTGCTGGAAATGAACACAGCCTGGGGGATCCTAGCTCACTCTGTGCTTCTCACAGCACAGCCAATCCAAAATACCCTCAAGGGCCCAGATGTCTGTGCCTAAAATGTCTAAATCGGAGCATCCTGGAGTCAGTCACACCTTTCTCCCACAGACCTGACCTACCAGGGTCATCTCCTGCCCAGGCTCTGCAACCAAGGAAGCCTGGAGGGTAAGCATCAGGTAACTCAAGTGCTTTGGATGTTCACCAGGGGTGTGTGAAAATCAGATCCCTCCTCTCCCCAGAAGATGTGAACCTGCTGGTCCATCTTTCCCAGAGGAGACTGTAACCCCCAGGCCAGGAGCATAAGCACCCTTGGTTCTTCCACAAAAGGCAGTCAGCTCCTGGAGATGTCTGCTGGAGCTCAAAAGCCCACCACCAACTTGACTTGGTCCTGGTCTGCATCCAGCAAATAATCTTCACTACAAGTCCCGAGGAGAAATGTGGTTTAAGGCATCTTTCCCTGCAGTCTTTTGTCTCAACTAGCACTGTGACCCCACACAGCCTCCCTATGTTCACATCAGTCTTCTCTAGCCACACATCTGCTCCAAACCCCTGGGTTTGAGTGCTTGGGGCTCTTCTCTGGGCTAGCTCTACAAACCACAGCAGGACAGAGAACACATCACCTTGGTGCTGCTGACACTCACTTTGCAACAGCAATGCTCCCTTGCTGCAGCTGCTTTCGTGCCACATCAGATGGTGCTTTCACCATCTGATTCCAGCCACCGTATTTCACCAGATAGTGATTTTCCACTATTTGTCTACAAAAAACCAAAATTGAGCTTTCCAGCTATAGAATTATCTCAGGGGGAAAAAGATTATTTCAGAGAGCTACTGATATAGATGGCTTATCTAAGGGCAGAGTCCTTTGTGATCAGCCGGCTTCCACATCCCCTGCACCAGACCACGCAGGCCCAGAGCGCCAAGACCTCTAGATAACCTGCACATGAAATACTTAGCATCATCTACCTACTCCATCCAGCAGTGAGCTGTAAGACCCAACCCACTAGTCTGCTCATTCCTACAGTGAGGCACTCCGCAGTTCAGCCAGGGCAGGATCTCCCTCCCCAGGCAGAAGTGTCGTCCATGGTGTAAGAAGTGACGGCAACTGTAGACTCCAAACAGTCTGGCAGGTGTAGGGGGTGAGTGTGAAACCCCCACTCCCTGCAGTGGGTGAAACTAGTGACTAGAGATTCAGCTCTGAGCAGACAGTGCATTTTATTGAAGTATAAACACAACTATATCCCAGCCCTTCTCTTTTCCATGCCACCAGTAAAAAATCTAGTGCATCACCATTAAGCACTGCTTCCCCAGACCCATTCATGCCATCCCCCTCGACAAGGGTCAAAGAAAATATCTACAGTCTGTGTAGGCCCACAGTGGTACAACAGAGGCCAGAAGTACTGAGAGAAGCTGAGCCAGGAAGCTCCCTCCACGTCAGGCTCTCCTTCCCACATGCTAAAGCTAAAAGGTTTTGGAGCAGTGCCCCACATGCCTGGTGCCACTCCAAACATATCTGGGGAATCCTCCAGGCAGCACAAGAGCACTTTAGGTTTTTATAGCTGTGTCTCGGGACTTGTAAGCCACACCACGGCTCTTCAGCTCTCTGACGATCCCTGCAGCAAGGAGAAAAACACACTTCAGTATTCCTTAGGGATGAAGAGCCCTGAAAAAATCCGGCTGCTCTGTCATGTAGCCTTCACACAGTTTATCCCTGGTACCACAGGGATAGCAGCATCTTTAATGTCAGCTTCTGGCAGGTGTTGTGCTGAAAGACTGCTGGGAGAAACCCCACCTGCATAACCGTGAAAGCACCTCCTATTCAGCATCTCTTTGTGGCACCCTTGCTCATCCCTTCACCCACGCTGCAAGTGCTCTGTTTGCAATACACAGTATTCACTGAACATCCTGATTTTGTCACACAGCACAGCACAATGCTCTGCCCAGTTTGACACCTTCAAAACAACAGCCCCAGCACCTCCTGCACAGAACAATCCCTCAGCTGCCACCTGCGCAGGAGCCTCCCCCATAACACGAGCTGCAGCGTTACCTTGAGGCAGCCGGCCGGTCACTGACACTGCGTACACACCCGGCTTGAAGTTACCTGGGGGAAAGAGAACACTGAGGGGTACCTGCACGGCAGCAGCCAGGTGGGGCAGCATCCTGGGAGCCTCTGACAGCGCTGATGCCCCCTCATCGGGAGCAGAGACACCCTCTGCAGCCCCAAAAGCAACTCCCGCTGCCCCAGAGAAGGGTTTGCTGAGGAGAAGGGATCTCCGCCCCCAGAAACCCACTCACTGATCCGCTGCCACTTGGAGACCCAGCTGTCCTCAGGGCTCATCATCGCGATGATCCTGTGGGAGGGACAGGAGTGAGAGGACGCTCTGCAGCCGAGTGACACCCCGGTGACCACGGGTCGGGCCCACTCACCCGTCGAAGGAGGAGCTGGTACAGTCATAGACCATCTCCCGGTTGCCCTTCATCTGCAGGTACGCATCGCAGTTGTCGCAGCCGTCGTACTCGAACTGGTCGATGGTCTGAGGGGACAGAGGCGTCAGCGCGGGGCCTGGCCGGGACCGGGAAGGGCCGGAGCGAGGGAAGGGGAGGGCTGCGCCGGGCCAGGCCGCAGTAACCAGGCAAAGCTGGCTGGGTAAAGGGAGGGAGCCACGGGACGGAGAAACGCCCGCGGGCCGAGAGAGGCCCCAGCCCGGCGGCAGGAGGGGAGCAGGGCCCGGGCCCGGGCCGGGGCAGGAGGTGCGGAGCACGGTGCCAGCGCTGGCCGCACCTTGACGAGGGAGCACAGCAGGCAGGCGCGGAGGTGCCGCAGGTCCTTGGGGACGGTCTCCAGCGCCATGCCGCCACGGCGAGCCCCGCGCAGGCGCAGAGCGGGGCCGGGGCCGGGGCGGGGCTGGGCGCGGAGGACGGGCGGTCCTAGCGCCGGTCACGGCCGGGGCCACCGCGCGGGGGGGGGCGGTCCGAGGGGTTTGGCAACGCAGCGCGGTGCAGAGAACAAAAGCAGGCGAGCAGACCGGGTACGTGGATAAATATATTAGTAAATAAATATATTTCTGAGCACATCAGCATATTCACACATCTTTTATCGGACATAAATACACAAGTTTGCATAGATATAAAACGTATTCTTCCTTTTTCCTTTCTCTTTTTTTTTTGGGGGGGGGGAGGGGTGGTGTCATAATTTATTCCCAAGCCCCAGAGCCAGGCCAGGCTCAGGAAATGACAACCAGTGACAAAAATCAAACCTATATTCACATTTCCAAAGGATCTGAACATCACAGAACGGAGCAAAGGCTCTGTGTGGGAAGGGGGGAGGTCCAGCCAGCCCGGGCCACAGCACCCACCCCGGTGGGGCAGGAGGCCCTGGGAGGGTGGCAGTCCCTGGGGAATGGCTGCACTTCGGGTTAAGATAGAGGGAGTTTGGGATGCTCTGGCTTCCATCGGTTTTCAGGTGGGACTTTGGAGGCAATGAAGAAAAACGAGCTCTGCTTCATTGCAGTGAGGCTGAAGAAATTCCATGACAGAGCCCAAGGGTCCTGAGCACTTGAATGCATCACCCTGAAGTGACAGGGGCAGGAACTGAAAGGAGCCTTTTCTCAGATACTGCTTCTTCCCTTCCAGGCAGCCAAGGATGGAAGTCCATCTACTGAAGAGGACCTTAAAAACCACCTTCCTGGAGAGTTCCTCCCTCTCCTCCCATCCAAGAACCCACAGAGGCAGACCTGCATGCTCTCATTCGGCTCAGAATCTAGAATGGCTTTCTGTATGAAAAGGAGCAGCAGCATAATGTCAGGAAAGGAAAACAGGAAAGGAAAAGCAGGCATTGCCCTGCACAGCCCTGTAATACTGCAGTAGGGAGTGGAAAGAGTGCATTAGTGCTGACCACTTTCTCCAAGAAGCTTGAGGTCTCCTGCAGGTTCCAAGCCCTCTGTTTTCTTAAGGATAAGGAGGGAAAGAGGAGGACTTTTAGACTGCAGACTAGATGCCCATTCTTTGAGGCAGTGAAATGCACCTCTGGAGGTTCGCAGCCTTCTGTTAAAGAAACCAGTGGGAGCACCTGGACTTCGCAACCCTCCTTCCTGTGAAGTCATCTGAGTCCTCCAGGATGGTCAAGGATGTAGGGAGCTGGTTGACATGGACAACATGCACAGGAAGCTGAACAGGGAGAATCTACATATGCTCCTGTTTTGTTGTTTGTTTTTTGGTTTTTTCCTCTAGCTTAAGACAGACATCCCTGCAAGGGAGAAAGAAATCTGAGCTTCTGTCTTCTGCCTGCTTTGTAGGACAAGCAAGAAGAGCCTCAAAAGATTAAAATATAGTTCTCCTGGTTTCTTTGATGAAAGAAATTCAACTCTTCCCTAGACTGAAAGGTCCTGCAGTGGTTTGGTCACAGAAGAAATGAACATTAACAAGGGAATAATGTTTTGTTTTAAACAGTGCTATTGCCTGACTTCAGATCATTTGAATGTCAGTGACTGATTAGCAGCTGGGACAAAGATGCCTTTTTCAAAGAAGGGCAGCAAACCCCATAAAAAGCCTTTCTCACCAATGAAGGAAGGCAGAGGTAGGATCATCCTGAACTGGAACTACATAACCCATACTCTTTCTTGTACTGGAGAAGCAGCTGCTGCTTTAAAGAAAGACACAGAAAGGTTACTGAGTACTCAGCAGTCTGTCCCTACATCGGGTTTCAAACTGTCAGGAGTTACCTTCAGCTCCAGTGTTGCATCCTCACCAGTGCCCAGAGTATTAACTCTGGGAACGCTGGGTGCCACAGAAATGGGCACTTCATGTGGGAATCTGCCCAATTCTTTGGCCTGAATGGTCATTGAAGGCAATAAAATCAATACTTGAATTCCCTGCTGAATGAAAACTGATTGGGTTCTGTAAGTTTTTCATTTGGGCAGGCTTTATTTTACTTGAATGCCCCCAAATTATGAGATGTAGGAAATGAGAACTAGTGACATTAAAAAAAAAACCTCCGCAACTGGGAGAGAAAAAAACCCTAGTAATAAACCAAGAACTTAGTGATTGATCAAGTTTTCTCTCTCCATTCAAAAAATATTAGGAAAGCCAGAAGAGTATTTTGAAAAATTCCTTTGCAGGATCATTTCAGGTGTCTTAGAAATACAATTAAGGCTGGGTGATGCTCAGCACTTATTATGGATACTTTTGCTGGGAATTTTGCTCTGTCTTGAGGCAATGAGAGAGGAAGGACAGAAGCAAGAGCCACATCAAGGCAAAGATTTTCCATGATTCCTGAGATGGGAGCATCTCAGGTTTGAAATATGCTCAACAAATGAGTTGCTCTTAACAGAGCCAGCCATCACACCTATCTTGAGAGCAGGTGGAGGAGAGTGAGAGAGAGACTTGTACACACTGCCAGATGAGATTGCTCTTCCCACTGCAACAGGAAGAGTCTAACCCAGCTCCTTCCCAGAAATACTGATCTTGTCCCTGTGTCTTCACCTCGCCTGCTGCTGGCAAAACCCAGCAAATGGCTGAGATGGCGTCAGCTGAGGGACAATGAAGTGATCAAAAGTGGTGAGAGCTGTTGGTTTCCAAAAAAGCCAGAAGCAGCACCTTGCAGGGAAGACCTGTGGGTGATAAGATGGAGAATAGCTTGTTCCTGTGTCTGAAATAAGAGTGGAAAAGCTAAATTAAGAAGTCTGGCTTTTGACAAGCGAGGAAATTAAGTCAGGAGCTACCAGGCCACAGAAAGTCATTTCTGCAGCTTTTGGTCTTGAAGGTTTGTTTATTTTTGAAGTGCTTAGCAAAACCTTCCATGGCATGAACATGCCGAAATAGTAGCTTGCACTCACTGCGCGAGCTCTCCAGCTGGTGACTCCCAACTCTGACCTCTGAGCCAGCTGGCCCACACAGATGGATGCTACAGGATGAAGATGGTCTGCCTCTGCCTTCAAAGGAGAAGGGGACCTGGAGAACACAGCACCGTGTTTGTGTGACCATCGCAAATGGGGAACATGTGAAGAGACCACAAGTGCTTATTCAGAGTCTGCACCCTGGCATGGGCTGTGCAGGTCAGGACTGCGCAGAGCCAGATGTGAGCTCCTCGACGGCTGGTACACTGAACATCTTTGTCCACTCCAGCTCTCCAGTAAGGAAGCAGGCCAGTGTTTTATTAAACTGAGTGTTCACGGACATCCTGGACCTCCTCTTCAGATCCTGTGTTCAAAGAAAAGGAGAAAGAAAAATGCTCACCTAGCTGAACATTCCCAGGCTCTGCAGCCATGACCCTGCAATACAGAGAACAGATGCTGCAGCGAAAGCCACTAAGTTTCTCACAGTATTTTGGAGGGACTTTCCTGGCCACCTCCCCAGTCAGTTTGTTTCTGAAAGCTAAAGCACAATAAAATGTTAAGATAAGATGTCAAGCTAGTCTTTAAGTATTTCAGAAGATACAGGCTAAGCACAGTGCACCTCAGAGTTCACACTGGTACTAGATGTTTGCTTTTGAGGCTTTTTGATGCTTGCTCTTCAAGGAAAAGCTGTACAGCCATTTAAAAAATCAGTAGCAACAGAATGTAACACCAATTCGTATTCTCACAGTGGCATGGCAGCACCTACCAGGGACAGCGAACAACAGAAACTCCACACAACAAAAGCAGACTGCAAGTGCTGTGTGCATGCAGGAGAGGGATGGCACGTGCATTTCAGAGTGTATTAGAAGTTGCAGAGATTGCTTGTGAGTCTCAAACAAGCCAAACCCAATGAGTGGTGTTCGGCCATAAATGCCAACCCCTCAGGCCCAGCCAGCAAGGACTGCAGCTTCTGCCTGATGAACTGTCAACAGGCAAGTGCTGAGCAGGTCACTTTGAAATATTCAGCGTACTGCAACTGCCTAGAAACAGCGCACCCTGAGTTACTGCTTCAGTTAGGCCCTTTCTCTCTCAGTGACCAAGTGTTGATACACACACCACAGTCCTTTTCCCAGGTATCTCTCAAGCCTGCCCAGGGCAATCACGCAGGGCCAGTGTAGCCCAGTAAAGGCATACAGGTATTATTTTTGCACATATCCCTTTTCCTGAATGTTCTCAAGATCAAAAGGAGACAAATGTGCATACAGGTATTCATAGAGAGCAATTCAAAACAGCTTTCCAGAACAGTCAGCAAATTCTTCTTTTTTATAAATGACCAGCTGGAGGAACAGGACCTGTGAAAATTAAATCTATGGGAAGAAAAGAAACAATTGATATTCTGCTTTGAGAAGGAAATGCACAGACACAGTGGTATACACATACATACATGTGCAGCATGGCCAAAGTACCAGGAGACAGAGTTTGAGCATATCTGGCATTTGTGTCACTGGTACATTGAATAAGCCATTGCCAACTGTTTCTCACAAACACCAGCTTATGTGCAACACAAAAGAGACTGTACAGCTTCGATCACTCTGCGATCAGATGCCCTGAGGCACCCAAACAGCATTATAAAAATGTTTTTCTGAAAATCATGCCTGTGTGAGTGTCCCCTGTTAGCCAAAAAGAAAGAGAGGTTATAAAAAGGTCTTGGATTGGGAGTGGTGGTACAGCCTCAGCTGCTGAACTGGCCATCGAGACCCACACAGGGCAATGAACTGAAGGAGCACACCTTAGGGATACAACAGAAGTTTTGTTCTCTGGATACCATATTTTACTGGTAGGTCTTTTTCTGCCCTTTAATCCCTTTTCCCCTCTGTAGTAAGGATCAAAGACATGACATGAAAGGAAATAGCTAAGAGGATGAGTAGGGGATGGAGGAGAGGGGGAGATGCTGACAACATGGTGCAGGAGGTGAGATTTCCCAGAGAGAGAAATCAAGAAACTTCATCTGCCTGTGCTGGGAGTAATCTAGCTGTTCTGGGACCAGTTCCGTGCACGCCAGGGTGGTTTAGGAAGCCATCTAGCTGTAAGTCGCTGCTAGTTGTCTGACTTCTCTTTAAAGGTTCCATTCAGCATTGCTTGAGGATTGATTCTTCAGTGAAACAACTCCCAGGTACAGTCTCCCAGGCAAGAGAGCCAGGGATGTATCTTTATGCAAACCCCACCAGGAAAAGGTGGTGAAGGTGCTCAAGGAAGCAGGATAAACTCCAAGATCATGCAAGCATCATCGGGATCATCTGCAGAGCCCTGACAATGGCTATGGACAGCGTTATTCCCTGTAATGCCAGTGCATGGCACTGCCTGCACAAGTGGAGCTTCTCCAGGGGCCATGGACCAAGACTCAGCCTCACCTTGCAGCTGGGTGAGGTAAGCACATACCTGGAGGGTGCTGCATCCCATAGGAGCACCCTCAGCTTCTGGAAACCCTGGTTTAGGGACTTCCTGAGCCAGAGAGTATATTTGCATCTCTGCATTTGATAGCTCTTGATCTAGGCTCTTGAACCTATTTTATTTCTGGCACCTATGTCCTCTGGGCAATAAGCACCAGTTTCACCACACACCATGTTATTACATTATTGGGTGTTTTAAAACTTCTGGTTCCCATTTGATGCCACCTCTTTGTTATAAGTACTGGCGAATCTCTTTTATCTGCCTTCTCTCCTGATTTCATATCCTCCCTTTCATATCCTCTGCGAATCATCTTTTTTCCCCACATGAAAGTGTCTATATCCTTTCTTGTGACTGTACTCGATACCTTTCTGCACTTCTCCCAAGTCTGCTACACCCTTCTTCGAGAAGTGCCGGGCAGTGGCAGGTGCTAGCTGTGAAAGCTCTGCACACTTACACAGCTGCATGATGGCACTTGCTGCTTGTTCCCCATTTGTTTCCAGCTAGTTCCTAACAATAATTCAATTTTTTACTCAGAAGCAGTTTTGCTTGTGTGTGGCATTTTGTGCTACTTACATGTGATTTCATCCACCACTCTTATTGCCTGAGCAACAGGAGATAGTTTATACCCACTTTATAACCAAACTTTATAACCAGTTTTAAAGCTGCCAATGCTGAAGGATCTTGTCTTTTATAAACTACTTTATAAACTATCTCTTCTCCTTGTGGAGGATATTTATGAACTTGCTGAAAGGTGCAGACAGTTGGAGAACTCCACTTTCTTCCTTCTCTGAGTAACTCTCTTCCATTAAGAATGATCTGCACTTTGTCTCCTATTTTTTAGTGAGTTATTTACCTATGAGAGTACCTTCCCTTTTATCCTTTGAGAGCTTCATTCCCCTAAAAGATCGGCAAGGCGTTATCTCTCTCTACAAAAGCTGTGTTGCCTCCTCCCCTGGTTTTCACATTTAGCCATGTACCTACAAGTCAGACCCTGTATTTGAATTTTTAACAATTCGCTAGGCAGGAAAGTCAGGCTCATCATTCTGTGGCTTCAGCTGTTTCAAGCTGATATTGCCCTCAGCTATTCCTTCTGGCTCTGGGCATGGGTAACAGACTGCATGCTTGTGGGTTAGCAGTTCTGTGCTTGAGCCCCTGCATGATGCCCACGTGGGCGCCCTGTAGCCCCAGCGATTCATTACTGTCTGCTTTACTGATGCATTTCAGAAATGCTCAAACTAATGATTTGATTTATGAGGGATCCTCTGCCCCACGTTCCAGGGTGAGAGCCTCTTCAAGCACTTCCACGCTGATCACTAATGCAATAAATTCAGTTTACCCTTCTGCTATGCAGTTACAGCCCTTGCCATCCCTCTTAGACCTTTGTTACTTCATGGACCTGCAGAGCCACTGGCAGCTTTCCTGCTTCTAAAGGAGTTCAAACTGTTTGCATTACTAGTCTTTCTCACAAACTGTTCATAGCAATCTTCCCTGCCCTGCCTCACTGTGGCTCCACGCTCAGCTTTGCTGTTTTCTGATTTCTTTGTCTAGCCACGCCTTTACTTTGGAAGAACAGCTTCTTGCTTCTCTTTTCCCCTTCTATTGCTTGGCCAGTCCTTTTCTGGGGCTTTAAGTGATCCTTGTGCCCAAAATCATCTTACTCTTTTGACTGCTTCTTTTAGTACTATTTGAAGAAGGGTCTCATGTATATGTAGGATCCTTTTTTGCAGCCTGTGCTAGCGCAGTGCATTAGAACCCTAACATCATACTTCTCTTACTTAGGCACAATTGGGGGGTTTTGTGTCACCTGTCATTGGACTTTACACTCTCCTTAACACAGTGTCCCTCCCATGCCACCAGAAGAGACACATTCTTCTCTGTAATTTCACCTGGAAATTACAGGTGCCCACTGTTTGTTTTAAGCTGGGTTTCTAAGAGGTTTATGTCAAAATTTTACTTTAAAGCTGGGCTTTCTAATTCATCTACTTACATTTTTAGCCTTACAACATTTATCTAGAGGCATATATTTATGCATTTCTTCTTGGTCTCCTTGTCTATTTTTGTGTCCTGCTTACATGGGACTGTCTGTTGAGATTGTTTTTTGCTCTTTTAGCTTGTTCTCTATTGATTTACATCCAGCAACTCTGAGGTTGTGTTATGTCAACCAAAGTGTTTTCAGCTTGATGGCTTTTCTGCATAAGCTCTGCTCCTGCTCTCTTCAACTGTCCTCGGTTCCTAATAAAGTTAAATCCTTCCTTTCTGTGTCTTTCTCAATCTTACAAGGAGATTCTGATTCTCTGGCTGGTCCTGAAAGCATTCACAGAAGCTACTGCAATCAAATAGACTCAGAGTTGCAATGTCCTTTCCAACACACTGGTCCTTCTAGCTCCTGGAAAAGGGAGGGAATGAAGGCTGTGTGCTTGCACACTAGCACTGGCTCTGGGTGGATGCCAAGAGAGCTTTTCCCTACCATGCCATCAGGAGATGGGGACATCTGGGCCACTGGGGTTCTCTACAAAGAGGTGGAGGCATCATACCAGGGACCTTTGCCATGCCTTGGACACTGCAGCACCCCGCACCCTGTGTGAGGTGGAGACTCCAGCTCTGGTGGCCTGGGGAGTCCTCCCAGTTTTATTTTTAAATGGGAGCTCAAAGCAACTCCTGAGCAGCCTGCCCCTCATGCCAGGGGGCTCTCTCCATGTGGAGGTCGCTTGCTGTGACCCTGGGAGGGCTGTGTCCTGGCAATATCACTGCCCACTGTCTGCAACTCAGGGGACATCAGTACTCAGAGCTACCTGCAAACCAGGGAGATACCTCTAAACTGCTGCCTCCTTAGCTCTCCAAATGGCAGCATCCCTCCAGGCTCTTTGAAGAACTCATCTGCAGTGTCAGGCACTTCTGTGCCTGGGAAAAAACCTCTGTTCCTGGGAGTCTGGGAGCGCGGAGTGCTGCAGGCAGCCAGGACAGGGCTCCATCCAGCCTCCCCCGTTCTCTGCTGCCTTCTCACAGGCGCTCCAGCACCAGGAGCCTGGGTGTGGTGGAGGGCTGGATAGACGAGCATGGGGAGGAAGTTATTATCTGCGTGGCACAATGGGCACAGTGAGTCATGAATTTAAGGCCAGCATTTTAACAGAAATTAGGCAGCTCGATCTGTATTTGGTACCTAAATCAAAACGATTTGCCCGAGGAGCTACAATGAGTCAGTGGCAGGGTGAGGAAAGGAGCCAGGCTCTGCTTGCAGCCAGAACCTGCCCATGCTGACTCGCAGGTTGCTGTGTTCAGAGGAGCATGAGAGAGCAAGACCTGGGAGCTAAACTCAGGCTCTTTGAAAGAGCCTGGTCTCAAATGCATTTCCCCTCTCAGAGATGTGCAGCAGTTAGGCAAAGGGCCAAACTTTAATTATGTCCGATTTCCAAACGATGCTAAAAAGCAACTCCCACACAACAGAGGCAGGTGAGAGGTGAGGCATGTGCAAATCCATAAACTCATTTAGTCTGTTTTCCTACTACCACTGGCAATGCACACTTCATTATTGATTCAGTTAGCGAGGGTTGGCTAAAACAACTAGAGCCCAATAAGCCTTGACTGTGCCAGTGAGACATCCAGACTGATGTAAGGACACTGAGAAACATGCTCCCATCCCTTCATTTGGGAGATATTCCAGCTGCTAGAGATGCTTAGTTCAAAATAGCCACATTATTCCTCATGTGTATTATTTTAGGATGAAACTGCAGGGTTTGGTGCCCTCATTAACAGCCTTGCTAATCATTCAGGCCATGATTTTCAGACAGGTGACATCTGAAACGCTTCTATTGTCAGTGGTCCTGTAGGAAAGCCCACCATGAAGGTATCAGGTTTACTGGCAGCCAGAGTACCTTCAGCAAACCACCCTCATCCACTTGCTTGCTGCAAGAAGAGGCCAACAGCAGACTTACCCTGACTACCCTGCTGAGACGGGCAGTGAAGTTGAAGACTCAGACTGTGTCTGGGGGTGCCTGTCCCTGAGAAATCAGCAGGAACCGTGTGGTTTCCCTCCCATCCTGACAACCCCTCCTCCTGCTTTTTCAGCTCTGAGCCAGACTGCGGCACTAAACACTTCCAGAGCGGCCGAGAGCCTGAGCTGCAGGACAGGGGAGCGCTTGTGGGGATCAGGGGCTGGGCTTCGGGTGAGCAGCAGTAGCCAGCAGGATGTCTATGAGGAACACGAGCATCGCAAGCTTTGGGCAAGGCTGAGTCCTCGGGCAGAAGAGCGGGGCTGGGCTCCAGGGGACATTTTCTTTTCCTTCGGTGGTGACGGCTCTGTGAGCTGTGTTTTGGGGGCAGTGGGACAGGGGATGTCCCAGATGCTTCCAATTGTCTTTTGGCATCTTTACTGAAGTCCAAGCTGCTTGGAGAAGCGGAAGAGATATGAGGGGACTCCCGGCCTTGCTGGGAACAGGCTGGCTGTCCCGCCAGAGCTGCTTCCTGCAGCACAGTGCTGCTGTCTGGAGGCTGCTGACAGTGATAGCTTTTCTCAGTTCTCTTTTGTGTCCGAGCACTGTGGAAGCCAACCTTGGCCCCTGTGTACCGGGATTTGCGCTGCCCAGGCCCTTGCCCTGCCCACCCTGGGGTACACTCCGCATTTCTTCTGTAGTGGTGGTGCTGGTGGTGGTGGTAGTGGACGTGGCTGAGCACCTGGGGCTTCGCCGGACCAGCACCCCCAGGCACCATCAAGTCCAAGGACCTGGGCCGCATGTCCCTTGGTGGCAGCGGCTGCTCCTGGCCATTGTCTGTGGCAGGGCCCTCTGAGCTGCAGTACACAAAGGGGTCGTAATCGCTGCTGAGGGAGCTGCGGAAAGTGGAGCAGCTGCCATGGATGCCCTGCAGACTGACATCTGTGCAGTTCAACATGGAGTCACTGGAGGAACCGTGGCAAGGCCCCGAGCTGGAGTCACTGCCTGGCCCATCTGCCAGGTACCCGCTGTGCTCCGTGAGATAGCTTTCTCCAGAGCCACTGCTGTTGTGCTGGTGCCCGTGGCCAACCCCCCGGCGAAGGGCAGGCGCCCGGTGCTGCTTCTGCACCAGGGCTGCCTTGAGCCCCAGGCAGGGGGGCTGGGGCTGGGGCTGGAGAGAACAAGTCCTGTGGGATGGCAGCGTCTGCCCGCATGCCGAGGGGTTGGGATGCTGCTGGCCCAGCAAGCCCGGGGCCAGAGGAGAAGAGTGGCCACAGGCAAGCAGGGAGGTGGCTGGCCTGTAAGGCATGTAGTGGATAGTGCCAAAATCCAACTGGGAGAGCTCCAGAGAGTGAAAGAAGGGGTTGCCATGGGCTTGCTCCGGGGGAAAGTTCCTGAGGTTCCTCTGAGGATAAGCATGTGGGAGGTGGTAAAGGGCATGTCCTGGGTGCTGTCGGAAGAGGTGGAGTCGCCGTCCGGGTTCCATGTCCTGTGGGGCCATCCTGGAGCCAGCAGCCGTGGCCTGGTCCACCGAGTCTCTGGCTGTGGAGAGAGAAGGGAGCATCCAGCACAAGTCTCACAGCCCAGCTGCAGTAGCCCCTGCATCAGCGAGCCTTCACTGCAACCCCACATCCCACCCATGCCCTGCAACCCCTCACTGCCACCACCAAACTGCCTTGATGGTCCTGCACACACAGCACCTGCCCTGCTGCCCTGATGCTCAGATCCCACCTCCCTTTCCCACAAGTCCCAGGACTGAAACCTCCTCCTCTCAGTGCAGGTCCCAGCCCAAGCCCTGTACACTGCCGGTGTTCACATGCACAGGGACCCCTCTCCATGCACCCACCACCCTATACACCCACAAGTGCTCCTGCTGATGCACCATGTGCATCATCCAAGAGTATATGGACCCTTTGGGCACAACCCTGCTGTGTCTGAGCCCTACCAAGGATATTGAACATGCAAAGTGGACATGTGTGGTGCTGCTGCAGCCAGGGGTCAACGCACTCCCGGTGAAACTCGTGGGAGCACGAGATGATCCGCAGGTCCTAGAGAGGTGGAAAGAAGAGGAGTGTGAGCAAGGAGAACCATGTCCCAAGGGCTGGATGGGTTCCTCTTGGTGGAAGTGAGCTCTGTAGGATAGAAAGATGGCTAACTGTGAGCGGGCTTCAGCCCAGCTTTGCATGGAGGAGGCTGTGCAGCAGCCTGGCAGTTCTGGTTCTGCTCACTGCATCCAGCCACCTCCAGAGAGGTGGCTGCCCTTGGGAATAGCAGGGGGACTGCCCCGCTGCTGCAATATGGATGTATATGGGCATTTTCATAGAATCATAGAATCACAGACTAGTTTGGGTTGCAAGGGACCTTAAATCTCATCCAGTCCCAACCCCCTGCCACAGGCAGGGACACCTTCCACTAGAGCAGCTTGCTCCAGGCCTCGTCCAACCTGGCCTTGAGCACTGCCAGGGATGGGGCAGCCACAGCTTCTCTGGCACCCTGTGCCAGCGCCTCAGCACCTCATTTTACCCTACAGCAACAGCTGGAGAACTGTCTTCGAGGAGCCTGAGTCTGCAGGCAAGTGTCTTCAACAGGGGCAGGGCTGTTTTGGCCAAGGCGCTGGCAAAACTCCTCTGATGCCCATCCTGTCCCAGCCTCCAGGAGCTGCTGAAGGAAACATTCCAAGTGCCTCCTGCCCCTACCACACTGCTCAGCCCCCGCCACAGCTCCCACACGCCGGCAGCCAGCCTGCTCAGTGCTGTGGCTCAGCAGCAGCCATGCCTGCAGCCTACCTGGCCCTCGCTGAACTCCTCCAGGCAGATGGCACAGACCGGGGCTGAGCTGCAGGTACTGGCCGAGTCCCACCGTGCTGCTGGCCGGCACCTCGCCTGGAACTTACGCGTGGCCAGCTGCCCGATGGCCTGCATGGTCTGCTGCTGCAGGGAGTCCTGCACCGGAGAGAGGAGGTGTGAAGGAGAGGCTCAGCCCCACACTGCCCTGCTTCCCACTGCCCTTCCGTTTGCAAAATGGCATCATCAGGAATTTGGGGGTGATAATTGTTTTTCCAGAGGTGACTTTCTGTCTAACCTGACTTAGCCAGAGTAGGCTTTGTCACCAGCAGGAGACATCTGGCCAATTCAGCGGTGCTGAATTTTTGAGCCCCAAAGGCTTGTCCTTCTATAGGACCAACAGGGTATTGTCAAATCTGGAAATACATCTGACTCTGAAAAGACAATTATTTAATTTGTTAGTTTCTATTAAAAATACTAAGTCTTCTGCTCTCTACCTGTACAGACAATACTGTTAAAATCGAGAGCTAGAGGGCCAGCTCTGCAGCTTTGGGTGCTGGGCCAAGCTCTGAAAGGTTCTGGGACTGCAGGCTGCAGTGCTGGTGGGGCAGCAGGAGGAAAGCAAGGCCACCGCACAAGGAAAGCAGCCAGCCCATCTCAGGTTCACTCGTCTCATTCCTGGGCTGCTCCTGCTTCATGTGGCCTCATCTTCAGTTCACACAGAGGTGTATTTCCCCTCCCACGCTGTGCCCGTTCTTGCCTTTCCTGTGTTTCCATTCACTCAGACACAGCTGCTCCATGAGGTCCCTACCTGAGTCCTGTTCAGTTGGCACTTTGTGCGCACCACAAAAATTAAGATGATAACGACCACGGTGCTGACCACCGTGAGGAGGATCCACACGTCGTAGTCTGGCTGTGGGATAGAACAGGGAAGAAATTACTCGTGTGCGGCAGGGGTGGGAGTCAGAAGCTAGGCAGGGGAATCCCTGTCTCTTCCTGACCATCAGCCTTTGAATACATGATCCTTGGCCAAGCTCTGTCTCATATGCTCTTTACAGGTAAAAGAAAAAGGTTTCAGTCTTTTCTGTGCATTCCAGCAGGAATGGAATTTCTCTGTCTTGCAGCATCACACCTCTCTAGAGGTCACGGTCTAAAGGTAGCACAAGATGAAAAAATCAAGCCTTGGTCTCACCTGAAGAGACAGAGAACCCCCTCACCTCACTCGTGACAATTAAAGTAAGGGAAGAGAAGAAGCTGAAAGCACTTCTGAGCCTTTATTTGTGGCATGCCATCTGAATGCTGCAGACAGGCAGCTACTGCAAAAGGCTGTGATCTCTGTCCCTGGGGAGGAAAGCTCAGCATCTCTGGGGAAGTCCTATTCCATGGCACAGCAGCTTGGGAGGGAGGATACAGAAGGCAGTGGGAATGGTGTGTTTCTCACCCAAGATGGTGGCTCCTTGACCTCTATCTTCACATGGGCCTCTCTGTTCTTGTTCACGACCCCCATGAGAAGCTCAGCATCGTGACCTCTGATCAGAACCACAGGCTGACTCAGACCTCTGGGCTTTCTCAGCTGTAAAGAAACAAACAGAGTAAGAGGTGGTCCAGAACAGCCCAAAACAAGGACTATCCCAGCTCCCAAGGCACGTCTGGTTCCTCCTGATGCTTCTTGCACACACTTTAGATACCAACTGACCCCCGCAACTTGCCTTTCTCCTCTCTGATGAAACCAGATGGAAGCTCTTCTTCTTCCAGCAGCTTTTCAGCAAGGTTTTCTTAATAACCTCCAGTGGTGCCTCCTACGTGCATAACTGGTCACTGTTCAGTGTGTTTCTGACCATACCAGCAGCTTTCCACCATGGTCCAGACAGCCTGGCATGGGCTGGCTCAGCCAGTGCCTCAGTCTCCCCTCTGCTCCACACTGACTGAGTGAGGGTGTCCATCTGACACAGGCCACTTCCCATACCCTTACTGAGCAATCTCAGCATCCCCTCACCTGCACTCACTGTTGTATTTCTCTGGCATCAGAATTTTAGTTCTAAGTATACAAAAGAATGACAACAGATTAATCCAGTGAGCAGGAGTCAGCCCAGAGGTTGGATAAGATCAAACATCAGCTCCCCTACCTGTCCTCTTATCTAGTGCTGGATGCTTTTCATCATCCCTTGATTATTTCGAGGTTGGAACCTATTTCTTTCCAGAGATGACAGCAGTGTTGGTGGAAGAGACCTCTGGAGGTCTTTAAACTAATGTTAAGCTTGCAGTAAGAGCATCACCACCAGCACAGCAGGGTGGCCGTGACTTTGGCTTGAACATTTCAGAAATCACCTTTCCCCTAAGGTACACCAGGGCTGTCTGTACTAGCTGGGATAGGTAATCTGTGACTTATCAAGAGGAAGCATCCAGCTCCTGGCAGAAAAGCTCAATTGACCAGACAATGTCCTTCAAGAGCAGCAAGATGCTGTTCGCAAGCTGCTGGCATGTGCTCTGGGGACACCTGGATGTGCCATGGAGTGAGTGAAAGAGTAAAGCCCTGTCTGTGCATGGATGAGCTCTTACAGCTAACATCCGAAACAGCCTGCAGTGTCCTCCTGGAACCTCCCACTGCATGTCAGTGGCTGGTAGGTCCTGACTCGGGCTCATTTAGGGATGGGACAGAGGCACTGTGGTTTAGCTGTTATTATCAGTGGAGTTTGTACCTGATCAGCAGCACTTTCATCATCGGTAATGTCAAAAAGGATCGCACGAGCTCCACGCTCCCCCGCCAGCTTTGCCTGTCCAAAAGAACAGAAGCTTCAGTGGACATTTGTACCTCTGCATTAACATCTACCATTTGGATATGTATCTGCCTCCCCGTCTCTTCATGGGGGAAAGAAGCACCTACCTGCTGCTTAGATTGAGAAAACACTTTATGCCCTGGTTTCTGTACTTGTGTCGAGCTGCAGTGCCTGCTCCTGCTACAGCCCTGAAGCTCATAGACAGTTTCCCCCTGTAGTTGTGGAGGCAAATTACTTGGTGGGCTTGCAGTGCACACCAAATTCCCCAGCTGTCTGTCCCCTTTGCTTCAGAGTTGGATTTGCTAGGGAGGGATCTGCAGCCCCATTAGCCCTGTTGACCCCTGTGCGTCCCTCGCATCCCAGGACAGCAGGAACCTCTTCAGGTCCCCACTGCTCATCATAGCTGCATCAACCATGGGCTGTCTATGGGCTTGACTCCCACACATATTGTTCTCCCCAGTCCCTGTCCCCCACAGGTACCAGGGAGAAGCTCAGGCAATGCCTGGGCTGTGGGTCTGATCTAGGATTAGGAACAGAGTGGCTTTTCACAGCCCACCGGCTGCTGTGTTCTGAGAACAGTGTTGAGACCCACCCAAATGAATATACATGCCACCCTGGTGAGGTCAAAGCACAGCGCCTGGAGGACCTTGTGGGGTCACCCACGTCCTCCCACCAAGCCCTTTGAGCCCTCCAGGCAGGCAAAGACAGCCCTTGGAGATGGGAACATGAACAGAAAGCAGGGCTGGGCCACTCTTACTCATGCGGAGCCCTTTGATCTGCACGTCCCTGAGCGCCTGTGCAAACAGGAGCTGCCGGAGCCGCTGCCGCAGCTCAGCCTCAACATTGCCAAACCCCAGCTTGGGGCCAGAGGTCAGTGCCGCCGCTTCCCAGCTGCGGTATCAAACACAGGGCACCAGCGGAGCAGAGGGAAGGGGCATTCCCAGCAGCGGTGGAGTGGGTTCAGCTCCATCCCTCACTCGCAGGTGCTGGTCACCTCCACGTGCCTCATCAGGGAGAAGATGGGTGCCTCAGTCTGGGGACAGGGATGGGGATGTGCATGGAGCTGCAGATGGTCAGGAAGAGCAGGGAGGACAGGCTGAAGGCTCTGAGTCACTGAATGGATTTGACACTCTTGGGTATACCAGATGGGGAAGCTGGAGAAGTGGGACCACAGGCTAGGGGCAGGGACCAAAGACTGGGGTCCTGCCTGGGATCAAAGAAGCCTCGGTGTTTGTGAGCCCTGAAGAAGAAACAGCACTTTCAGATATTGACTTACACCCACCGGAGCCAGTCAAGCTTTGATGAACAGTGAACAGCTCTACGAAGATTTGATCCTACTAAAGACACCAACAATAGGAAAAAGAACAACTGAGAATGGACAACTGACTCTTGCCAACATCCTTCTGACTCCTGCTGCAAAGGACACAGCTTTTGTTCAAGCTATCAAGCCTACTTAATGCAACAGTTTTCTGAGTGCTTGCTGCCTTTCATCAGCTCTCTCCAGCCACATGCAGAGGTGCCCTCCCTTTCTGAGGACTGAAACACTTTTGGTACAAACGTGTATTTCGAGGGTGACTGAGGAGGTTGCAGTAGCCTGTCAATCAGACTGGCAACCAATGGTTTGCTCAGGGAAAAAATTCACACACCCCCAAAATTACAAACTATGCACCAGAAAGAAAAATAAATCACTTTGAAGTGTGATCAGGTGGAGTTCTCCTGCTGGGCTGGACGCAGCACTGCTTGGCTGGGTGACAGCTAAAGCAGAGGTTATGATAACACTTTTCACATGGCTATTTTCATCATCAATACAGCACTGCAATTCAATATGCAAAGCTCCACCGCAAAAACACGTCAGGAAAACAAGGCTCTAGTGAGCACCAGCCACATCCTACAGCTTCATCCCTGCTCCTGAGGAGAAGTGCTGTCCAGGGATTCTGAGAAAGAGATCTGTATGATGTTGAAGGAAAGGAGCTTGGCTTCGGGAGGATGGAGAAGCATCCACACAGCAACTGCAGGGGGATGGAGGAACCAAGGTACAAGGCAGGGCCCAGGGATGTGGCCAGCTTAAGAAACATCTGCCTGTATTTCATGGCTAACCTAGTCCTGTTTCATAGAACCACAGAATGGTTTAGGTTGGAAGGAGCCCTAAAGATCATCCAGCTCCAATACCCCTGCCATGGTCAGGGACACCTTCCACTAGACCAGAATGTGACCACTGGCAGGGAGAAGAGCTGTGAGCCTCCCTGGGTGAGGTCTTGGAGTAGGATATAGTAACTACAGGCAGGATGACATCTGATGTCATGCCTAGTTGGACCTCAAAATCCATTGCTGGATTTGGCTCTGGTAATAAAGCAACGATGACTAAAGGCCAGTGAACTGTCACTGTACCATGGCAATGAACTGAGGGGTTTATTTTCTTTGTGTGGGTTCGTGGTCCTGGAGAAGGGATCAAGGCTAGTGAGGATGACCACAGTGCAGCAATGCACCATGACTTGTCCTCCCTGTGCTGACCTTTCTCAGCTGACCCTAGCGCAGGGTGCCCAGAGAAGCTGTGGCTGCCCCATCCCTGGCAGTGTTCAAGGGCAGGTTGGACACAGGGGCTTGGAGCAAGCTGCTCTAGTGGAAGGTGTCCCTGTCAGTGGCAGAGGATTGGAACTGGAAGAGCTTTGAGGTCCCTTCCAACCCAAACCAGTCTGTGATTCTGTGATTCTCCTGTCCCTGGCCTCAGTAACGTTCTGGTACTTCCTGCACCATGATTAGCAACTCAAAGATAAAGGTCAAAACTAGCATAACAGCTTCTAACCTTTAAGGTTCTCAAGTGGAAGATGAGTGCTGGATGCTGCTCCTTCCTTCTGTTCAAGACCCTCCACAGCACTTGCACTGACCAAACCAGCTGTTGCTGCTGCCAACCCCAGCACCCTCCCCTGCGAGATGAGACCATTATAATGTGATGGTCACATCTAGATGGACCTGGGACAGCTGGAGTACCCAGCTGTGCTCCCTAAGGACACCTTGCTCTCATTCCTGCCACAAGACACACTGGAAGCCCCTGGGTTCACACTTCAAACTCCTCATCCTCATGCACTTACACCCACAGTGGGACCAGGCTGATTTCCAGGTCTGGGTAACTGGAAGCAGTTCCCTAACTCCGGCACACTGGTTGTGCTGACAGCTGGTATCAGTTCCAGAGCAGCAGCAAGCCAAACTTGGGCTTCCACCCTGGTCCAGAAAGGGATAGGCACTGCTGTCTGCCATGCAGCTGGGGGGAAGCAGCCTCGAGGTGGCCTACCCATAGCAGCATCACATCCCTTCCCTTGCTTTTGTAGCCACAACCTCTGCATAAAAAAAAACCAACAACAACAACAAAAAAAAACAACTAAAAAACCCCCAAACTGCTGTGCAGGAGCAACTGCTTGGAATGAGTTCCACCTGCCCTGTTCAGCCCTGCTGCAGGGAGGATGGAAAAGGACCCTGTCCCCATCCCCAGCACATCACTACCAGCAGAAGGCAGACACCAGGAGCAGTATCACCTGAATGCATCCAGATAAAGCCAAGAAGAGCTATGCAAGTTGTTTTTTTTTTCATGTTTGTACAGTGCTGGTGGAAAATAACACAACATTTAGTACAGAGACAGTAACAAGTAAAAGCTAATGCTAGCCTTATCCACACAACTTTATCAGAGACACAAAGATTTTAAGGCTTAAAAAATGACCCTCGTTCCTACCTGACTTCCTTATTACCAGAGAATTGCACCAGTGACCTCAGCTTTTGACACAGTGACTGCTGTGTCACTGAGGTACCTCTTTCACAGGAGACCTGATCTGAAGACCTCTGAGATCTCCCATGCCTTTGCAGGGCAGATGGTTGCCCATGTTGTTAACAAGTCACATCCCACCACTAGTTCATCTCGTTTGTTTTTGGCCCAATTGCTCAGTGCTGATTCTTTACATGCCTCATCCAGTGAAGTATCACAGTACTGTTTTTGAAGACAGAGCTACAGAAGGTGTCTTCTGTGACCAGGTTTTCCCACAGGTCAGAGGACACCAAGAAACACAAATCCCCTCAACAGACAAGCAAGCAGTGCGAGGCTGCAAAAGAGGAGGGGCGCAAGGCTGCCAGGCAGCTGGGATGCTGGGGTCAGGTCTGAGCATCCTAGAGCAGTCAGGTTAAGGAAAACTCCACAGCCACAAAGCCAGGCAGTCCAAAAGATAAAGAGGGACGGGTATTGGGGATGGCTGCCACAGCATCTCTCCCAGAGAGCCCCCCTGCCAAGGATCAATGTCCTTGTCCTTTTCTCCACCTTCCAACAGCTCTTTTCTACCCTCCTGCTCTTACTCTTTCCTGCACCACGGGTTTCCGTTCCCACATTTGTACCTACCTTGTTTGCCAGCGACAGGCAGGGGTTGGGATCCCGATCCGGCTGTTCAAGCTTGACAATGGTGATGAATCCCGATTCGGTGTGCTCATCCTCGCTGGTGTTGCACAGGGACAGCGGGTGGGACTGAGGGACACAAGCAAAGGGACACTCAGACCTTGGGGCTTAGCACTGCAAAGGGTGGCTCAAGCCTGTCACTCACTGTACCATAGCTACCTGCCCAGAGGGTGCAGGACACCCCTGTAGTGGGCATCACCACTGCTGCTGCATCCCATGGCCCTGTCTAAGAGTCACTGAGGCTCTGAATGCCACAAAAAAGCAAGTCACTGTCCAAGTTTTGGTCCACCAGGACAACGTCATAGAATCCTAAAAATGTTTTGGATTGGACAGGATCTTAAAGATCATCTAGTTCCAACTTCCATGTCACAGAGAAAGGTGCAGTTTCTAACCTGGCCTGCACTTGTGTCTGGCTTTGCCCCAGTCACAGATATTCAGAGCTAGAGCAGCCCAGGAGAGCACAGTCCTTGCCTTCTGGGATGGAGCATCCGGATAGCACAGGTCTTGCTGCTGCAAGGACTGCCAGCAACCTTGGACCACAAGGCCCTGCTGGCAGCCAGCATGCTCCCTGCCAGGGCCTGGGCAAGGTGAAGGGACCACAACAAAAGCAAACTTCTCTTGCCTTCAAAGCTTCAGCACTCCTTGTTTCTCAGCCACCAAACTAGACAACTTGAAGATAAACTTGCAGACAAGCCAAAGGAAGGAGTGAAAAAAATGAAAGCAGGTAGAGAAGTACCAGGAATGAGAAGGGAGAAGAAAAGATTCCAGTAACCATATCCCCAGTGAGTCCTGGAGAAATGCTCATCAGGTTGAGCCCAACTGCTGGGAAGCTGAGACAAGACGGGGTCAAGGCACCAGGTCTGGGCGCACCCACCCTGCAGAGCACCCTGCAGGAAGGGATATGGTGCCCCAGTATGTCACTTGGACACGAGCTGAGGGGCTCACTCCTGTTGGAGGCAGGCAGTTGGGGTTTTGGTGGTCAAGGCCCCTTGTGGTGAGCCTGTCCCGGTGTGGGGCAGAGCTCAGAGGGGCAGCACCACTGCCCTTGGCTGCACCTCATTCCTGTGCATTCACCCTCATTACGACATCCACTGAGCACTGCTCTGGTCCCTGTCTGGAAGAGCGAGCAACTGCCTCTGATTCTTCAGTCCAGCAGTGGAAGGATGGCGCGTTGGATGGCAGTGTTGGTGCTGCATGGCAGGATGTTGAAGCAAACTGCATATCAGATGTTGGCTCCCTCCTGGGGGGTCCCATCACCTTGCATGAGGCCTCCCCAGCTCTTCTTAACACAGTTACCTGGCTTCCTGCTCTGTGACTATGTTGTGGTGTATGAAGCACACAGGTTATGGTACAGAAAAGCCTGTAAATACTGAGGCTGCTGGACAGCTGTTGTTACTGCATTGATGCACGGAAGTGTGAGAAACAAGCAAGAAAGCTCAACATCATAAATCAGGAGGATTAAGGCAGGCTTTGTGTCCGGTGTCCATCCAGAAGCATGCCCAGAAGGCTTGCCCACCCTGCATGTAATCCTGCAACAGCATCCCAGTGTTATGCAAAAAAGGTTATTGTCTTGGCAGATTTAAAACCAGGGGAAGGAACTGCCAGAGCAGCCCAAGGACACTCCTCGACCTCCATCCACACTCGCCGTTGCTGTCCCAGGGGCTGTGAGGCTGTGTTGGGCCCTTGCTCAGGCTGCTGGGGCTGCTCCTCAGCATGGAGCCAGGGCACACAGAGGCACAGGGCTGGCAGGAGCTGGGCAGGCTCAGAAAGAGACAGATCATGTTTCCTCCCCTCTGCCAGCTGCTTACTGAAGAAATCCAGCTGTGGGGGAGAGGGAAAACAGGGCTTATTTCACCTAACTGCAGACATGCTGATGTCACCTTTTAATGTCTGAGTGGGTCGCAAGAACAAGTCCTTCAAGGAGGATGACTCACCCAGGCTGTTTTTAGTCACATCCTTCAGGAGGAGATGCACCATGCCCATTTCTTGCTGCTAACAATGGAGTGTAGGCAATTCACTCAGATGTAGCCATCTATATGGAAGCCTTCAAAAGCTGAAGCAGACGAGCAGCACCTATGCTCACTCAGAGATGCAAAGTGTCCTTCCTGGGCACACAGAGAGAGAGCTCTGCCTGTTGGAGCTGCTGCAGCCAGAGGCCAGGGTGGACAATGCTAAAGTTAACTGGGGCTGCATGCCAGAGCTGGTCCTGTGCAGGTTGGAGCATCCTGCCCTGCATCCCTATACCAGCCCAGAGCCACTGCCCCAGGGATGTGGGATGCTGGTCTTCACCCCAACACCCCCAGCAAAGCCCTAGGGCTGCAGCCAGAGTGGGGTTCTCAGCCGGGTCCTGCCCTCCGGGCCCCCTCTCTGTCCCTGTCTGGCCAAGGTGCCCCTGCGGCCTGGCCAGGGCTCAGTGGAGGCCCCTGCAGAGACCACAGCTTCATTACCCAGTCCCAAGCAGCCCCATACTGGCTGCTGCCTGCACTGACCCACAGTGCCAAGGTATCCGGCGCTGCAAATTGCAGAGATTGCCCCTTCAAGCGGGCAATCTTTAATGGTTGTACCCATCAAACGATGCAGGGCACAGTCATGCTGCTGGCAGACTGTGGGTGGGTTTGCGCAGCCTGTGCTATGGCACAACCTGGCACCAGTTCCAAAGGTGCAAGCAGCCTGGCACTGGGAGATCAGGAGGCACTACAAAATCACAGCGCTACATTTTGCTCATTGCAGGGGGGTTGGAGCAGATGAACTTTGAAGTCCCCTTCCAACCCAAACTGTTCTGTGATTCTGTGATTTGTTGTAGCACTAAGTCCTGGGCTGCAAAACAAGAGCTCTTAAAAGTGAGTTAGAATGGTGAGGATTAAATAACCCCAACATACCCACAACCACAGACATTTGCAAATTGCCCAGGTTTTGAGGCAGGGAACACCTACAGTCACAAGGGAGTAAAGAAAAAGCCCAGGCTCTCACTACCTCAGGAACTTGGAGACCTATGTGTAAGAGATGGCACCATGAGCACGAGCTAAGACATAACCTGTTACACCTTAAATACTGCACAGAGTAGCTGGGCACCAATGAACTGCTGCATGCCTTTGACTGGCAGTCCCCCATCCACCTTCCTCTTGGGGACTCCCTCTCTAATCCATACTGATATTTGAAGAAAAATCTCATAGTGCTATAGAACTTAGATTTCAGACTCAAAGACACTGGAGAGGGTGCGATCGTACCAAGCCAAGCACCATAACTCTAGAAATCCAGGTTTCCAGGGAAACAATTCAATCTGTTATGCCCTGGGAGCATTAAGAGAAGGCTCCCAAGTAACCCTGTGCTTCACACAAGTAACAGCAGGCACTGCCCCACCAAGACCAACACAGCATTGGAGTGCCCATGATCCCACTGGCTTTACCAAGCAATGTCGTTACTTTTATACTGTTTGCTGGACTGGGAGGTCTCCGGCTTTTGGCTAATGTATCATTTTAATAATGGCAGAAAAAACACAAAACAGGAAATGCAAAGAGTGTGTCTCGTGATCCTTCCAATACTGCAGAGATAACCCTCCTGCTGGCGTTACCCAGCCTTCGCCGGGCTGCTCCCTGAGGAGCCTAGGCTACCAGTGCTGCCTGGAGGTGTGTCCAACCCTGGGTGGGAATGTCTTGGGGTGCTGTGACATTGCTGGGGCAGTGTGTGACAGACCTGTGTGCTGAGCATGGAGCAACCCCTCTGTGACAAGGATTGCAGGGCCTGATCACAGCATTAATGATAAGCACTGGGGATAAAAGCAACAAGCTAAGCTGCTGCAGCCCCAAATGAGCGTCAGAGCACATATAAAATGCTGGCAGCTGTTCCAGTTGGTAAATCTGGAGAAGACTTGCTGATGGATGCACCAAAGCCTTCCCTTTGATTATCTATTAAGACTGGGCATCGTGGTCTTCTCCTCATCCCTCTGGGACACCCACCCTCCCTGACCAAGCAAGCGTCCTTTGCCTCAGGCATTCCTGCCAGGGCACAGCTGCACCCACCAAGGGCAGGGCAGGAGGCTGGGGGAAACAGCCATGCAGATCCCTGCCAGCAGAAACCCTTCCCATGTAGGCAGCTGCCCAGCGACCTCAGCCAGAGCAGTGACACCCTCGTTACCTGTGACCAGTCCCTCATCAGACACTAATCATCTCTGGAGGATGAGTGCAGGTGCCTTCCTCAGCACCCTGTACCACATGGCCAGGGGCAGCTCAGGAGGATTCCTCTTTGCCCAAGTGACACACCTCGTCCACCCAAGTGACATGCTCCGCTCACCCCTGCTCCCCTCTTCCTAGCACCGTCTCCTCCCATTTGGTGCTACACAGGATGCGGGAAGGTCCCAGGGAAAGCCAGGCAGAGAGAGGTGTTGGGTTCTCACTTGGGGGCTTCATTTATAAAACAGTAGAAAAATAAAGATGACCCTGAGAGGTCACCAAGCCCAAAGGCAGGATCAGCCAGACCCAACACATTCCTCAGAGACACTCGCTCAACCTGTTTCTGAGACCTCCAAAAAGGAGCCTGCTCACTCCTGGCAGGGCTGCCTTCTCCTCACACCCGGAAGTATTTCCCAACACCTCATCTGAATGGGGTTTGCTGCAGTTTAAACATATTAATTCTCACTGAATTGACTATGCCCATGGAAAAGAGAGAATCTGCTGCCCCCTCCCTTCAGAACCATTTAAACTTTCCTGTTCCCAAAAGCCTTAAGGGACAAAGGCTGAAAAGCAAAGCCCCTGACAGCCTCTCAGTTCTCTCTGTAAGAGAACCCAGAGTATTTCACGCCCTTTCTTCGTGGGGGATGAGTTAAAAGGATTGATTTGGTCTGAAGTGGCAGTAAAATTTTTATAAGCAACCAATAAAATTAAGCATGAAAAAGAGAGGAAGAGAACAGGAAAAGAGAGTGTTTACCAAAAGGCTCCAGAAAAACCATGGCCTAAACTGGTGAACTGTTAAGACCAACATATAACACATCACTAAATTGACACCACCACCAGAAAAATAGCAGGTAGCAAATACCACGCTGAATATGAAGTTGAGAGCGAGGCAGCGAATGG